TCGGCAGCTGGGTAGCCAAAAACACAGTGGCCGGTGAATACCTGCAGGTGGATCTTGGTAACATTTACCGAGTTACAAAGGTAGCGACTCAAGGGAGTGTAGTAGTTTGGTTTCCACAATGGATTACCTCGTATAGTCTCTCTTATGCTTTTAATAACGGGACTTTCACTGACTACAAGGTTGGCGGGTCACTCAAGGTCAGTAAAACCGCAAGTAGATATTATGAACTGTACAATATTTATCAGGATGGGGGGTTGAGAATCCAGAGAGTGAAGCAAAATCTAAATTTATGTGCTTAAAGAGGTGGGTCGGACGTCTAAAATCAATTAGAACTTTAACTGGAAATTCCTCTTCTACAGGTCTTCCCTGGGAACACTGACCGTGACACTATTGTGACAAACGTTCTTCCAGGGTCAGTCAGGTGTCGCTATATTCGAATTGTTGCTGTTACCTACTCCGATTTTCCTGCCATGAGAGCCGAAATCTACGGTTGCCCTGAGAACTGACACTACGACGTACAGATATATACATCCATTGCAAAAAATGTGTCAAGGTCAAGGAAAATGGCCAATGAATATGGCCAGTAGTTTAAATCAGCTAGTATGCACCGCACTAAATCAGGGAAATAAATAACACTATTCATAATTACTCCAAAATAGTGCATGGATAATTAAGGAAATAGAAAAAAATCATAAAACAGTAGCGACCATGTAGGGTGTAGCAATAAAACAAATTATTGGAAATGAATGAAGCCATAAAATGGCAATGAGTGGTTAATTCATATTTGAAGATGGAAAGTTTGTCTTGAAAAATACCGACTAACTTGTCATGAATTTATGACAAAAGTTTGTTATTCGGACCAGATAAGCCCTCCCTTTGTATGTTAAACTGACGAGAGTCGGAATTCAAGGGAAAACTACTTCAGATGCAGAGACCCTCCCTGCGGCTTTAAAAATCAAGAGAGCATGGCAGCTATTTAATTTTTTGGAGTTTTCATGATTTTTGCTGGGGACCAAGGGAGTAGGAGTTTATTTTTGGGATCAAGGGAGAGAAGGAGATGATCAAGTCAACAATCAATTATAAACACCTGGTGACCGGATTTTTACGGTATTTTACTATACTAATAATATACATATTGGAGTCCCTGTGGTAAAATCTTGGTAAACTTTAGGTCCTGGTGCCCATCTTAGAATGCATGCTGGGAAGTGTGTAAAAATCTACGATGGCTTCCGATGGAGATGGGGCATATTTTATATGGATTACAGCAGAAATTGTTAAACTTTCTAGAAAACAAGTAGCTCATGTCCTTTCCAAAATTCAAAAGGAGTGGCAATTTTTAATTTCGAGAAGATAATAGATAATGTATGGTTTGGGAGAGATTGCTCCAAAGTTCCCATTCTTTGTAAATTTTTTTTCGACTTTTACACGTTTGTAAGTTTGTAATTATAGGTCGAAATACGCTCAGCCTCAGTGAAAATACTATTTTAAAGGGCTACTTGGACGAAAATTACGAAACATTAGAAAAGACTTGGAAATCAAATAGACCTATTCATATGGGTCTGAAAATCATGAAGCAACATATTTAAAGAAGATTTTGATACAAATCCTTAATAATTTGAAAAAAAAATGTTGGAGTAAATGACGTCATTTACTCAATTCTTTTGTTCTTCCATCTTTTGAATCAAAATTTCTCTGATGTGGGAAAATTCCAAAACAAATATTTTCCCGCAATCGTTTTTATAGATGTAAATGAGTCATATATTTGTATTGCTTGAAGTTTTGGAATAAGAGCATTTTCATGCAAGTAGCACTTAATTATGTTTTTTCTTATCCTGGGTTCTGTTCTCTTATTGCTTGGAGATTATGCGCGGGCACCAGTCCCTTTTTGGAAATGTCAATACCATGTGTATAAGTAAAGCAATATGGACTTATTACATAAGAAAGTAAGCAAAGCATGGGAAGCAAGGATGGCCGAGCGGTTAAAACGCCTATCTATCACCGCTGTGGTCCTGGTTCGATTCCCGGTCCGGGACTATATGTGATTTGAGTTTGTAGGCTGGTTCTCTTCCTTGCTCCGAGGGTTTTTCTCCAGGTCCGCTGGTTTTCCTCCCTCAGTCAAAAACTAGCTGTGAGGAGTGTCGTGTAGTAAAATAATGAATGTTGAGGTAGTGAGTATGAGTGAATATATAGAGGGCCACAAGTTTATTAGTCTA